TTTTTTAACTCATACTGACCTTTTTCCACTGTAAACTGAATTCTGCAACAATCATTGCTGCAATGTCAATTCAGAGAAGCAAAACAGAGAAACAAGAGATAGGAAAGGTTACCTTTGCTAATAAACATGTTAAAATAGAAATGTCATTTCCATGCTTGACCTTTTGATCTTCAACCACTTAGCCTTACTTCCAGAGTAATTTTTATTTAATCACAAGTATCTGGTTCATATGTTCGAGTTAAGTGGCGGCAATAAATGTTACCTCTCAAGCTCCCAGAAAGGTCAAACGGCCGAGCTGTTTTCTCACATGTCTGAGTTTGTGCTTTAAAATGTCAACAGATGTAATTTAATGAAAACGGCACGTGTTTTTTTCTGCAGGGTACCGGCCGCTATGCTATCTATATCGCCAACTACGCCAGTGGAAACGTGGGACCTCACGCTCTCATAGAGATGGACGAGGTAGCCAGTGACCTCTCCGAGGGAGTCATTGCCCTCTCCAATGTTGCAGAGCAAGCTGGAGTTAACAAACTAATTGGTAGGTGTCAAGAGCTTATGGAGACTGTGCAATAGGTCTTGATGATTTGTTTGCGCTACCTGCCCTTAAAGTGTTATCAATGCTGACATCTGTCGTAAGGAATCTGCCTTTTGTTGCAGTGGATTCTACGACAAAAAAGTCCGTAAAGGTGGATTGTTTGGCGTCAAATATGAGCAATAGAGCTAGGTTCTCCAGAGAAGGAGAAAAGAAAGAAGGGAGTAAATGAGAACGTCTTTCGGTTCTATTGTGTTTTCACAAAGACGTTAGTAGAGCATTCACTGGAAGGCAAGAGATTATACCAAATCAGCTGCCAATAAATAATAACATTCTCAATGTATTTATAGGTGTAACTTGAAGAAAATACCCTTCAAGCTATGGAGACGTGTGTCGTTTTTCCTAATTTTGAAAATGTCCACATGAAAATAGCTAACTGCCTAAATCTTCCTGTATTGGCAAAAATAAAATGGTAAAAACTGGTATTCAGACAAACAACCGAAGATCAGCCAACGTTATCTTTTCACGATACAAACTTAATGTTTCAGAAATAGCAAAAAGTGGCATCTTGGACTCACCAGGTCTACTTGCTCCCTGACAACAATATGATCAGAAGAGAAGTCTTTAGAAAATAACTTTTTATGTCCATACGATCACCAAGCGTGGAATCTGCCAAACCTCACTGGAACCTGAGCCATGTGCTTCGATCAGATGAAATTAAACTTGAGTGTTTTAGAAGCAAATACTTCATGTAGGTCTGGCATGAAACACAGGGTGGATATTTGGAAAAGTACTATTTGTCCGCTGTTAATGGAGGATAATGTGTGATGGAGTGTGCTAGTGTCTCTTTCCAAGGGCCATCAGCACCTTGTCTGAGCCAATGGCATTCTGAAGCCTTTGAAATGTAAAAAACTATTTTAAATACAAATATGGCGGCCTGTGCCAGAAAAGTGAAAATGTGTTGTCCCTGCATCTTTCAGCAGCATGGTGATCTAAAACATCTGGCCAATTGGCTCCAATGGTTTACCAGACACAACATGCTGAAAAGGCCTGAATAGTTCAAAGAGCTAAATCCAATTTATATCCAGTTAAACTTCTTAGCATAGGCTTTGTGTTCTTTTGATGTTGGTCTTTTGAAGTATTTTTTATTTTAGTTACAAATCTGTGGTTTTATGAATACTTTTTCCTTTAATAGATATTTTGTTTTCCTGAATTTATTTCTGCATTTTCTTTAAAACTGTTCAAATGAGTTCAACACTTTTGCCAGCCGTCTGTTCTTTCATTTTAGAGCTCTAAAGCCAGAACTCCCTCATCTCTGTGACTCAATTCAAGCTCGCTGTACAGCCAGTGATGTATAGAAAAGTGGAGCAGTAAATGCCAGAAAGGCCCAACCTAAGTATGATTTGTTTCCTCATAACCAAGAGTGAGATCACCTGTTAATGAAACTTTATTGTAACCACTGAAAAGTCCTTGATGTTGATGTTCCACTGAGTTTCGAAAATGGGCAATGACTTTGTGTTTGAGAGCGACAGAATTAAGCTTTATCATCTCTGGAACATTTTTTTTTTCTTTTTTTTTTTTCCCACGTGAAGGACATCATCTGATCCACCCAGGGGGCCAGAGCGAGCTGGTTCACAGTTACTGTGAGTGATGTTAGCTGGACGGCTTTGTCATCAGACTGCTGTTAATCAGAGCAGACGGACAGCCTGTGAAGTTGTATATCTGATGGTTACATATCTCTGGAGAGGCGTTTCGTGGTTTATTGCTGTTGGGGGCAAGTGATATTTGTCCGGGCTGATGAAGCGGGCCAGTAAATCAGGCGCAGGGCCTGACTCACTCACAGCACTGACTCTGCACGGAGAAAGGGCAATCAAAGCCCCGTCAGCTATATAATTAAACTCTGCTGGTCTGAGATGAAACTCTCTAGCAAGATGCTTTTACTTTATAGGAAGTCATTGGAAAATCATGGGGTGATATTCGCTGTGATTTTTTGTTTTTTTCCATCTTGGTGATTAAATTACTGCTAGTCTTTGGTTAATGCAAAACATCTCAGTATGTGTTGTATCACTAGTCCGCTGTATTTGTTTGCACTTGTACTTCCCTTGTAGTTATTTACCTGTGTTTGTAGCCATCAGAATTGGAGTCTGTGTCAGCAAAAAAAAGCCCTACACAGTTCGAAGCAAATGGACCGAAAAGACACTAATGATCTCTTATAATTCCCTTCTGTTATGGAGTCGATCTCTCTCCTGTTGTTCAGTACAGTATTTCACCTTCCCGGTTTCATTCTTTTTTTCTCTTTCAAAAAACTTCTTCTCTGTTTAACTAGCTGCCTTATTTTGTCTTACTGAGGGACCTTCTCTCGCCGTATCCATCTGCACAGGGGGGAGAGGCGTGGTGGTGGGGCCAATTGTTAGTCAAACTCTATCTGATATCTTCTGCGACAATGAGTACGGATCCAACTTCCTGTTCAGAAACAACGGCGATGGAACTTTTACTGATGTTGCGCAGCAGGCCGGTAAGGGACATGCAGTGTACATTTTGAAGAAACTAAACACGTCTAGGCTTTAGAGTATGAAAGAACCTTTCGGTATGTACTTCCAGGAGTGGAGGACCCCATGCAGCATGGCAGAGGGGTGGCACTGGCAGATTTTAACCGCGACGGCAGGACTGACATCGTGTACGGGAACTGGAATGGACCTCACCGCCTGTACATACAGCTAAACAACCGCAAGCAGAAATTTAAGGTGAAATGATGTCTTAGAAAAAAAAATAAAAATCCTGTATGTGGTTCCACAAAACAAACGACATTTGAATGGCTCATGATCCAAAGGTTCACACATACATGCACATCATTTAGAAAATACAAAAAAGATTTTTTTTAAATTATTAATTTATAATTATTTTCTAAACTAAAAACATCTTACAGTTTTGTTTCTCACACAGAATATGTTTTTTATTGATAGATATAAAACTGCAATCTGGTACCATTAGGAGAACCTGACCAGTGAAGAATATAGAAAATAGGCCAATAATAAATGCAAAACTGTTATAAGTAATAACGATTTTGTAATTACTTAATTATGGAGTAACTTTATGGAATTTACTCCATAATTAAGTACCAATTTAAAACTCACTGGCAGCTCTGTGCATAATCCAGACAACATATTTTATCATGTTGTCTTTGAGCATGATAAAATCTCGATCAGTGATTCCCACAATCAAAAAACACATTTCACATCTCAGGTTGTTAGTCTCCATTTGTTGTCCTCTGATCAAAATCAATGTCTAATGAGAAACCAGGATAAAATCAGCAAATCTAAACTGTTATCACAGTGAATGTGTTCTTGTTAGTGCTAACAATGGGCTAATGCATTAGCACCTCTCATGGAGCTTCAGTTTGGGTTTAAGTGGTATTCAAAGGCTCCTGTGATTTACTCCATCAATGACCAGCGTCGTACATGTGCCGTTTGGGGTCTTTATGTCACTCGGCTGCAGACACAGAGGAATGAGCTGCGCTGGGTGTGAATCTGCAGACCCTTCCCTTCGTGCTCGGTGATCTACCTCTCACTGCCTGCCCCCACATCCTTTACACGGGAGATAAACGTCACAGGAGCCATTTTTATATGGGTCAAGTATGGGGTTAATGTGTGATACTTAGCCCCAAGACTACTCAATCATACCAACACACACGTCTCAACTCTTCCACACTCTTACGGATAAGACAAACAAAATTAGGGCATAGTGTTTTCCTGTTTGACAACAAGTTAAATCTCAAGCCAACAACATATTCAGACACCAGAAAAGCTGAGACTTTTCCATATTATCCAATATTGACCTTTGGTTTGAATAATGAAGCTGTTGTATCACTTCAATAAACCAACACTTAAATCGGGCTGAGCCAGCAGCTTTGCCTTGGTAATGGAAAGTGCAGATTGGGCCATTTGATGTTTAATTAAAATCTGTTAGATAGGTTACTCTTTACAGTAGGTTGGGTACCTGCATATATATATACACACACGCCCACACATCCAATACATAAAATCAATTTATATATTTGGAAGATGGCCTTAGCAGAAGTTATACAATTTTTCTTGTTTATTGAAAATGCACTTAAAGTGAGATTCTGTTGTTGCAAATAAGGTATTTTGATAAAAAAAGCTTTTTGTGAGGAGATTTGTAAGGAATTTGATTTATTACATATAATTATGATCAATTATCACTTATTTTATTACGGCTTTTTCCTCAATCACCACAGAACAAAAATAAAAGTACTTTATCTTAGAAGCATTCATATCCCATTTTTTTCCACATTTTGTCATTGGGAAACATCAGTGTAGTTTGTAGGGATATTTATCTGACAGATAACAAAAATGTGTACATAATTGTGGAAAGTGTCAAGAAAATAGTGCATAGTCCAATTTTTTTCCCCAAGTAAAAATCTGAAAAGTGTGTTGTCCATTTGTATCCAGATCCTGATTTAACAGTTTGCAGAAACAGAAAGTTTATCGATTCTTGTCCATAGTTAGGTCATCATCAGTCAGACTGGACGGAGAGCATCTGTAATCAGAAAAATCTTACCATAAATAGATAAAACAGGTTGAGGTATGCTTACAGCTCCCTCCATCATCCTATCTGCTCCAACCACTTCCCACATCCTCTTTACCGAAAAAAAAAAAAAAAAAAATCCATCCCCATAGCATGATGCTGCCACTACCATTTTTCACACAGGGCATGGTTTGTAGACCGATACTGTTTTGCATGTGGGCAAAAGTGTCTGTACTTAATATTTAATTTCACTCTCATCTGACAAAATGCTGAGAGTGAAATGATCTGCCGCCGGCCTCTTGGCACATATTCCTCTTTTTTTGATGGCGATTAATTGCAGTGGATTTGATCTAAAAGTAAAAATAATAAATAATTAAGTGAATTAAAATGTGTACTAACTTCAACACGCACACTTGCTCCATGTCGTGATGGATCCGATTTTCAACTCAAAATGTTAATGTTATGTTTATTCGCTCAGATTTTTTGTCTCTGCACTTAAGCAAGTGACACAGTGAATGTAGTTGTTCCCTTAGCGCCTCAGACAGCAATCCCCTCTCCTTCACCTGAGCAGGAGAAGGTCAATGTGGGCGGCCCCTACCTCTGCAGCTTTATGAGCCTTATAATTAAAACAGGGAGTAAATACTGGGAGGAGTGAAGGGCCGCTCTATAACTCTTTCAAGACTTATCACCAGCTCACTGAAGCGAGGACATATCTGTTACTTCCTCATGCAAGAACTCAACTACTGCAGAAACTTTTCTTTAGGAAGTGGAGTAGAGGGGAGGCGTCTAACCTGTGTGCCCCAATGTCTGAAAAGGACTAAGAAATACTTTTTTCATCTGTTTCCCCATAACCATTACTGCTGTGGTATGGGGAGAAGCATAACTGAGGGAGCCATGGGCTCAAAATGGCAAAAGAATACTAGATGCATCAGGTACGCCTTAACCTAAATGGGATGTATCTAAACACAGAGGTAAAAAGAAAAATAAGACAAAATGTGATAAATTGGTCTATAAAGTGGCTTATGGATATATCTACTGCTCTATATCTATACTGTTTTATAAAACAGTATGTGAATATGACTCAACATGCAAGAGAAACCAGATTAGCAGAATATGACACGGCGGAAACTCCGAACAAAACCGAAACAACACGGAAAAGTCAGCAACATTACCTTAGCTGTACTGCCATGTCCAAACTGGTCAGAAAATGGAATGAGATATCTGGAAATGTCAACTGGAAAAATCTGGAATTCTGAAATCCTGTAAAAAGTATCGGCTTATAACAAGACACTGTCATACTTCTGTTGCACTTAAGCAGCTATTTCTGTTTACAGACAAGCACTCAGCTCTGTCAAGCTGCCATTTTCTCATATCAACAATATATTTGTGTTATTATTTTGTGCTCTGCTCTTTAAAGCAATAATCCATCACTGACAGTGATTGTTTATGCAAAAAAAAGTACACGTGTTGCATCACAGATAATTTATTTTTTTTTTTCTCAAAGCGAATAAACATTTGGAGAGGATTATTCAAACTCGAAGCAAGAGCTTACATGTGAGCAGTATTAGATAAATACAAATGATGAGAAGATGAATGAATACACCTACTCAATAGAAAAATGGCACTTGTTTTCTCTCCTGTTCCCCTTTTCCTCAGGACATTGCCTCCCAGAAGTTTTCCATGCCATCTCCGGTGCGGACAGTCATTGTTGCTGACTTTGATAATGACAACGAGTTGGAGGTGTTCTTCAATAACATCGCCTACAGGGGACCCTCAGCCAACAGACTCTTTAGGTACTGACAGTGAGTGAAACCCAAACACTCTTAGGTGTTTGCACTGCAAATATGAGATTTATGAGCACTTTGATGAGGAGGTTAATAAAATGCTCTTGTGTCTTGATTTAATATTCAAATGTTATGCTTGAAAGCTGCAGGGAATTTAAATTTCCAGGAAAAGGATAGTTATCTAGTCTGGCGTCCCGCCTCTTCCTTCTTCACACATGAATGATTCTTTCATTAAGACAGTTTTAAGATCTTTCTTTGTTCATGGTTTGGTTTCCTCTCTAGATAATATTAATTAACTCAGTGCTCAAAATGTGCAAAACGTGTGATTGGTTGACTGATAGCAAAATGAACCCTTTCCTCTCTGAGTAAAATCTGATTTGGCAAAGTTTTCTGAACAGGATTCAAATTTCAGTTCACACAGAATATCAGTAATCAGTCTGTTCTCCAGAGATCTCCCGGATCAGAATATTTCTCCACGCCAGGTCACCCAAGAAAAATCTATCTTTCTGGTCTGAAAGAGGTCACTACTTCTCAGCCAGTGGCTCAGCCATTGTCTTCTGTGGAGATGAACAAGCTTATTTTTTCTCCTCTTTGGCACAGAAAAAATAAATAAATAAAAACATGCTTGAACAAGCTAATTAATCCAGTACGCCAAATCAATATCAAGCTGATGTTAGTGCTATAGCAGCTAAAATCACTACATTAGTGGCTCTAAGATATCGAATCATTATAAATGTGGAACTCTAACACTTTCATGCATGGTGGTCAGCTATTCAGCCATTTGTTCTGGATGTGTGTGGTTATTGATGGTATCCTTGCATACAGCACGCTTTGCTAGTTTGTAGTGTGTCACTGTTCATAACCACCAATATGTAAGTTAACAGAAAACTTCAAATGCAGAAAAACAGCACTCAGAGACGGTAATTGGACTCAACTTATATATAACCTTTCGAGTTATGCTGACCACTTAAGCCACTTTACACTACAGATCCATTCACCAATTTGCACAGATTGGTGAGCACGTTGGGCACACAACTGGAGGAAACTGTCAGCTTTCCAAATGCAAGAAAATTACTCTGCCACTGAGCAACATACGTCCAAAACCAATTGATAACCATAGACAAAAATTATTAGTAACATTTTTAAGTCTTGGATTTATAATCAAAAGAAATTGAACTGTCCAATAAAGTGGACATCATGTGCTGTGAAAAAGTACTTGCCTCTTCTGTTTCGTCACATTTGGATGTTTCAGATCATCAAACAAATTTAAATATTGGACAAAGATAAACTGAGTAAACAAAAAAGTCGTTTTCAAATGATAATTTTATTCATTCAGTGCATAAGGTATCCGAATCAACCTGTGACTATTAGAAAAAGTAATTGCCTCCCTTATTAAATCCGTAGTAACAGGGAATTAATCTACGATGCTTAGATTGCTGAATTCAATTTCACAGGCCAAATCCAGGCCTTAAACCATGTCTGCATATTTTGGGAGTAGAACTGAAACAGTTTGTTAAGAAAGGCCAAATACAGAGACTCCTTATTTCAAGGCAACATCTTTTGATGTAATTACTTTACATCGTGTTGTCTGGTCCTAGTCTCTAGTCGAGGATATGATCTATTCTCAGCTCTGTGTTTGTATTATAAAGTTTTATAATGTTCTTTTTGATTTTATGCAACCAAAAGACCAGCTTGGGAAAGGTATAACTTATTAGCACAGCCTATAAATGCTGCAGAGTTCAGTGTTTTTGGTTATTACTTGATATTTCTTCTGGAACAAATAAACTAAAGGTAAATAAACATCTCTCTGCAGTGTGCCGTCGAGTGAAATAAAATAAGTGGATGTAAATTAATTTTTAGTTTTTCTATGTTTTAGTGGTAATGCTTTGATGCTGTGCAGAAATGTGAAGGTAATGTTGTGCCTTCGTAGGGTGAGCAGGAGAGAACATGCGGACCCCCAGATAGAAGAGTTGAACATTGGTGAGGCCGCAGAGCCTGATGGACGAGGAACTGGTAATCTTGTCAAAACAATCAATAACCTTTATTTGCACAACCCTGTTATTGTCTGTAGACCTGCCTATCAAGTCTAATAAAACAGAAAATTAAATCTGATTAAGATATTTTTTGTTGAAGTTGTGAAAGGGGAAAAAAAATATTTTGTTACATTAACTGTAAGCGCAAATGTTACAGACAGAATGAACACATCAAGAAAATCTGAAAGTTTCATGTGGTAGTACCACATCTAACCACTAGATGACACCAATGCTCCACTTTTGAAAATGTTCCGAAAATGTGTCACCGGCATTATTCTTGAGTTATGTGCATATCTTTGTTGATGAGGATAGTAATTGTTGTAAAGCCTGCTTCCTGGAGTGTTTATTGTGATGGGCCTACAGGAGCCATAGCCACAGATATTGATGGTGACGGCCGTCTGGAACTGGTGGTGTCTCATGGCGAAAGCGCAGCACAGCCGCTCTCTGTCTACAGAGTCAATCAGGTGAGTGTGCTGGTCTTAAATAGCATTTTATATTCTGTAGGGTGGTCAAGCATAAGTCATCCTTCCCTGACCCATCTCTTTCTCCTCTTCCTCCTCCTCCTCATCATGTGTCAGGGCCTCACTAACTCATGGCTCCGAGTGATTCCCCGAACCAAGTTTGGAGCTTTTGCCCGAGGAGCTAAAGTGGTTGTCTACACAAAGAAAAGTGGCCCACACACACGGATTATTGATGGGGGCTCGGGGTATCTGTGTGAGATGGAACCTGTCGCTCACTTTGGTCTTGGTAAGATCACATTTAAAGCACCAGGCAGCCCTTCAGCCGGCTAAATCTGCTCCTCTGTGAGGCTGCAACTAGTAAATTTTGCACTGTATTAACAGCCCTTTTTTATTTGACATGCTCTAAAATAACATACTTCATTTTCTAAATTATTCCAAGATTAGATACTAACAGAGGGAAAGAAAAAAAAAAGTATGGAAAGCATGTTTTTAATCCTTTGAGCTCTCTGGTCTCTCTCAGTTCTGCACCAGGGCTTGCAAAGAAAAGGTCGGCTCCTGTGGCCTTCACGTTACACTCTGCAGCAGCAAACTTTCCAAAACGTTGTAACTTTAGAAAGGACCTCCAGACTTTCAGGGAGTTATACGTGATACACCCTGCAGCACCGTGAGAGGTTGTCATCTCGGTTCAGAACAGGTGAAATAGTCTCTGGCTCCCTGGCAGTGCACCTGTCTGGCAGGGTTACTGAAGATCTGTTTACATTAAAAATGCTACTTTAATTAAGATCCACAGAGGCTCCCGGGAGATGAGCTTTCTCTGTGCCTGATTAAAACAGTTAATGATGAGAAGAGAGTGCAACGAAGTCCCCTAAAAGGAGACAAAGATGGAAGAGTCACGACTGTCAACACATGCAGTAAATTGTTGCTCTATAGATTCGCTGAGCTCACATAACCTCTTTCTGTGTGTGCATCATATTTACCTGAAATCATTTTTTTTTTTTACTTAAACAGGTAGGGATGTGGCCACAAATGTTGAAGTGTACTGGCCAGATGGGCGCTCAATAGCCCGTCCTCTGGAGCCTTCAGAGATCAACTCAGTGCTGGAGATCCCCTACCCAAAAGATGAGGAGGAAGTCACTCCTACTGTGGAAATCGAGGTACAGGACACAACATTAAGCTCTGGTTGAACTTGATGGTTTAAGACATATAATTGGCTATTTTAGGAACAGCACAGTGACACTCTTCCAGTTTCATGTGGTGCCTTACAAAAGTATTCACACCCCATGAGCTTTTCTTACATTTTGTCACATCTTGTAGGATTTTTATGTGATAGATCAACATGTAAATTGGTTTCCTATATTTTGTGTGCTTGTATTCAACCTGTTGGAGAGTCCGTACTTTGCAGAAACACCCGTGGGGGGCGAGGGGGTGGGTCGTTACTAGGAGGGGGACATTCAAAGAAGCAGTTGATCTTCTTTGCAAAGTAGATCAACTGCTGTCAGACTGGATAGATATGATGTGGCATTTTGCATGTAGGCCAAAAAAAAGAAAAAAAATGGTTGTGGTTTCATTTAACAAACTACAAATTGGGCATCACACGGCTTCTTCTATGATCCTCAAAGAACAGCAGTTTTTAGCGTAGTGTTAGTGAGTATTAATCTGCATACAGGTTGACTGTTTAATAAGCAGGTTAGTTCTGAAGGTAATTGTTGCAGTGGATATTATTTAAGGATATCGAATTAAAGTCCGTCTCCTGCATTTCTCACGCTCTCCACTGTCTTAGTGGCTTCCGTGTGCTCTAGTATTGTTTGGTTGTCCCCAAACTGTCTGGTCTAAGCTTTTGGTAGTGGCCAGCTGATTAGACATAAAAAAAATAAGTGGGTAGAATGCGTGCCACCATTTCCTGTTTGATTTTTCCTTAAAAAAATAAAAATAAAAAATAAAAAATGGAAACAGTGTTCACTTTATACCTCAGTTATTCTGTGCATTGTGTCTTTTACATAAAATCCAAATGAATTCCACTACAGTTTGCTTTCTGGACAGAGATTGAAAAAGTATAGAGTCCAAATAGCATTACAAGATACAATATTCCAGGAAGAACCAAGTTTGACACGGAAGCAAGTAAAGTTTATCAGGTGATGAACTGCAAACCCCACAATATTACGCTGCTACTTGGTTAAAACTGACTAGTTTTCTTTGTTTTGTTTTTTTTTTTTGCCAGATCTGTTTTAGCTAAAGGAAATGCTGCCCAATTTAAGCTGGTTCTCTGTTACTTTTAAGTCGCCGGTAGAATCTGAAGATGCAGTTCAGAGAATGCGATGATATTTACTGTGAACATATTAATGGACTGTAAAGATTTTTATTTTTTTTTTTGCTTCACATCAATTGTGTTTTACAGTGCGGTCATGGATTTGCTCTAAACGAGTTTGGCCGTTGCACAGGTAAGCGGACCTCATTTATGTTCCCTTCATGATCTCCGTCTCCTTGTGTTAGTCTCCTTCAGTCAAGCGTCTTTGCCTTCCTCGCCTTCCCCATCCCTAGATAAAGATGAATGCACCCAATTCCCCTCTATGTGCCCCTCCGACCGTCCCATCTGCACCAATACCTACGGCAGCTATAAATGCCGTGCCAAGAAGAGATGCAACCAGGGCTTTGAGCCCAATGACGATGGGTCTGCCTGTGTGGGTGAGTCGTCCTGACAAAATAAATTGCTGGATTGCCCAAGATCAGGAGAACAAAGGAAGCGCCGTGAGAAAACGAGAGGCTTTAATTGCATTGGTGTTTGGGTGAAGGCTTAGCCTTGCTAACATTTCTCTGACCATTTCCCCTTTCCACACTTGTTATCTTGCATCAGTCTAAATGAGTTGTTGCCTGACAGTTTTCCGCCCTCTGTTTCTCGTTTTGCTTTGCAGCCCAGGTGGCTTACTTTGGAAGGACGCACTCTTCGGGGGAATGCAATGCTTCCCATATGCTTACTCTCACTCTGCTACCCGTCATCTCGACTCATCTGCAGATAGGACTGCTGTAGCTTTACTCTTGTCTCCTCCACTTTACCGCTGAGCGGAGATGTACAGAAACTGTGTGCAAACTTTTCTCTGAGAAATATCCTCCCACTTCTTCACCACGAAGCTCTGCTGTCTTTTCTCCTTCGGTTACTGTATATAACTGGTTGTCACCGCTGCTGTATTTTGCCCTGTGGCTCCTGGCCTCCTCTGGGAGCTTTGCTGTGAGCTGCAGAGATCAGAACTGCCACCTGTGGACCCCTGATTTCATCGCCTGGCATTCAAAGTGTGACCTGAACTGAGGCCAAGTCAATAAGGGAAGCTTTAGTATATCCCCCCTGCACATACAGAGATGAATCCGCAGAGCATGTTTATTGGAGACATCCCACCTGTATCTCTGCCATACCACAATGTGTATTAATCATTGCAGATCATTCTCACCTTGATTATGTGTTTGCTGAAAAGCGTATGGATACATAGCTTTAGGTCGTGTGTGTGTTTATGTCTGTGTGGGCGACGTGTGGGTGCCTGATTGTGCGTGGTCCAATGAAGTGTTCAGGTACAGAAACATACGCCGGACCATCTGTCGCCAATGGCAGGACACATTTATTTTTATTTATTTATTTATTTTTTTTCAAGAATAAATTATGAAATAAAATGGAGCAGAAAACGGATGCAAGGCTGTGTGTGTGTGTGTGTGTGTGTGTGTGTGTGTGTGGAGAAATGCATACAGAGTGTGAGACTACATCTGATGATTTGAATGAAACAAACACTGAAATGAAGTCACAGGAAGATGTTTGGAAGATTTACAATATTTTTTAATGTTGGGTTGTTTTCCACACTAGCATCAAAATGTTGATCAATTCACAGTAAAATCTGCCTTTGCAATTTCACTTTGTACACCTCTAAATTTGTGCATTACCATTATATTTTTTGCACATCCCAGATGTATGTTGTTTAATATTGCATTGTTCATCTTTGCTTTTGTGACCCTGAACCTTATGCCCGAGGAAAACTGTCTAGATTTGCCCCTGAGGTTTTGTGGCAGTGTAGGTAATTTTTCAACAATCAAACCTTTAAAGTTGAGATCAAGTCATAAAACAAGTAGAACTCCTTATTGTTCTGAAAATATGTATGCTTCAGTATGTTTTTACCTTGCTATGACCTGAGAAGTAAAACAAAACAAAAATAAATACTATACTGTGGTCAAAAAGATGGCAAAAAATAGAAATAATGAAGATACTAACATTTTGATGGACAGCTTGACCGTTCCTTTGCTTTTCTGCAGGGAAGTGTCAGCTCATGGATGCACTTCAGGTTCAAAAGATATTTCTAACAGAAATGTGAACCCTCTGTCATTTTTCAGATACTATTTAGAAGATTTCTTCATGCCGTTGGACTTACCAAAGTTCTTATCTGTCAAGATGATTTCAGATGTACCGAGTAATCCGGAGGCTCATTCTTTACGGAGCTCTGTGCATGACTAAACATTTATTAATTGTGTGTTTCTGTCAGGAGACTATGAATTGCTCACAGGTGGCGTTTTATTCCGCCAGCTTTTTATTGTCTCTAAAGATGCACCAAAATATTTAGCAGCACCCACTGTAATGTAAGTCCTGAATGTCTCATAGTATCAGTTTATCAGCGACATTTTTATCTTTTTTTCCTGAAAAATAAAACGGCAGCAGTCCATTAAAAAGACAATAAACTAAAAGTCACTTACTGCGGCTCTTTGTTCAGTCCATTTTCACATTGGTGGTTTGCTTTCTGTGGTAGCCAAAGAGTCTGTGGATAGTTTATGAAGGTTCAGAAGACCATGTCCACTTAAGTCAAATATTTTAATATGTTTTTACTGACATATTTGTCGGACAATTGACCAGAGGCTGTTGCGAAGGTGAAACTTTAGAGTCAGGAAGAAAGGCAACTTTTTTTCTTTTTTTTTTTTCCCCACGGACGGACTCGGTTTCCTGACCGAGAAATGAAATGTAATCTTCCATTTTGCAGGATGGGTCAGCTAAATACGTTGGAAGGACACGGCTGAACGCGTTCCAACGTTACTGCAGGGCTTTTCTTTCCATAAAAATCATGACAGCTCTCATTACTTCAGCTGGCTGTGTGATTCCAATTTGTTCATTTTCTTTTAAGTGTCTTTTTGAAATCACTTGTTTATTGAAACTTAGCTGATGCAAAACATTTGCTGCGGATGTTACAATGCAGAAAATGATCCGAGTCCTTATTGCATGTAAATTTTATCATCTAAAACTAAATGAAATGTAATGTTTTTGTGGGCTCTGCCTTTCTAAACCCAGAGGGCGTCTCTGAAATCAGATATTGTCAGGTCACAGATTTGTGTCCAGTGAGAGAGACTTGGTTGAACTTGAAGAAAATGAATAAATGTAAAATATTCCACAAAGATGCATCGGGTTGTGCTACCAACTTGTTTTTAGCCGGCGGCCAGTATTTTAGGTGGGAGAAGAAAAATACAGGTGCAGGTTTTATCTATGAACTATACCTGGGCAGGGAGGCTGATGTGTTTGTCCCAATGAGTAGCAGTGCAGGTTTACAACCATGATTCCCCACCTGTTTGTTCTGAGATGTCCTTGTGTTTAAAATAAAACCTGAAACTCAATGTTCAGGCTGTGAATTATGACAAAGCCATGGGAACACATGGGGTTGCCATAGCATCTCTAACGTAACATAGTGGATAAATGTAGTTATCTTTGGAAATCAACATTGACTTCTGCGTTACGAAGTGAAGTCGTTTTGCTTCTCAGGTGTGACACCTGATGCAGCAAAACATGACAAACCCCAAATTTTCTGAATTCTAAAACTTCTTATATAAATGTCTCATCCTATTAGTTGTTAACTTATTTTTGTTTGTGTTATTTCCAGCATTTCCCGTCAACCACCCATAAATGGGATGCTGCAGCAAGTCCGGCACCTCGGCTTCTCATGGCCTCGCCGGCGGGTGTGTATGTATGTGAACTGGTGTTGTGACCCGGAGCTTTTATTTTTTCTGCCTCGAATCAGCAGCCACAAAACCTTCATCAAAGAGAGAGGCTGCACATGCGAAGATAATGCACAATTCGCAGAAACCGATGCGGGATCTGATGGGAATGGAAATGACGAGAAAGCCTTTCTAAGTGGAAAATAGGAGAACGAAAGAGTGCCAAGAAAACACTGTCCAAACGGTGTTGGAGTATGATCTGCAGTTGTCATTTCCTCTCCGCTGCATCTGTTATATGCATCTTTTTACCCCTGATAAATGTAAGTCAAGCCATCTTTGCAGTACTTTGCACAAACTATGCTAATGCTGGCCTGAGGGTGTTCACTAAGGGTTACCGCAACCTCAGATCAAATACATCTTTTCTTCCTTGCTTCTTGCTGCCAGAGAACGTAACTCGATTTAAGCTTATCAGAGTAATTTAAGTGTGTCTGAATACAGGAATAAGTCACTGATATGACTGATAAAATGTTTTCCGTTACCTCTTAAGCATGAATGGCATCACGTGGAACGCATCTTTGTGGAAGGTCATAACTCTTTATTTTTGGCTCGTGTTTTTTTTTTTTTTTTTCATTTAAGAAGACGTATGATACACAGATACAACAAACTATTATATATTTTTTCTTCTATTCACAGCAAGACTCTTACAACACCACGGTCTTCCAGAGAACTTCAGACCATTATTTCTTTTAAAGTTAAGATCTAGACCTGCACATAAAATACGTACAGAAAAATGTACGTAAATGTGCAAGTGAGAACTGGCATAAATGTTTAACTTTTTATTAAACAATATGTGAACACTTGTTCCATATTTGAAATCTAGCACTCAGATCCTGCTGATCTGATTGCATAAAATCTTTGTTCAAAATCGCATAAAGCAACATCACTAAACAAGTTCTACTCCCCTGATTTAAAACAAGTTTTTTAATAATTACATATCAGTTGACAGACTCCAGGTAGAGGAAGCCTTTCTTTTTAGGGAGACCTTCTTTTTCTGAGCGTTTATTTAGCACTGATTTCTGATGCTGAGGGTTTATTTCTTTCTTTCTTTCTCGTTCATCCAGTAGAGTAACAACCGCGGTGCACATTGTACATGCACACCCCATGTAAACCCATGTACATGTATTTCACATGCCACATTTCACTATGTGAGATTTCACATTTGCTTTATTAAGTGGGATTTTTTTAAATGTAAAATTCGTGGTTTTTTAGTTGTTGTTTTTTTCTTCATAAAGAGAGTAACATCTTGTTTTCATTAGCTTGGAATGAGCTATGTCATTTACATTGGAAGCTGCTCTTTATCTTAGAGGTTTTGCCGGGTTCTGGGAAGGCCAAGAACAACAAACCAAAGTCTGTTCTGTGATCCAAGCCTATGTTCTAACCCTGGATGTTGCCAACCACCAGCATCAGAGTTCTGCTCTGTTTTGCTTTGTTAATGCAGACTAATGTTACAAAATGACCTAAATGGACGAGTTTCAACATTGAAACCTTGTTTCAAACAACGCTTTCCACTGCCTTCTTTCCTTTCCTGCTGTTACCAATTTATGAGGTTGGAGGTGAAAATGAAGGTTCGAATTAAACAAAAGCAGGTTTACAGACATTAAAAGGCTAGAGATACATTGCTATGTCTTTTTTCTTAATAGGAATTGTAACATGTAACATGTTTTAAAATGTAGAAGAAAATATCTTTTATGTGTCTTCTGGTTAGAACAAGTTCATCCATAGTACAAACAGAACAGACTTTTCTTTCCTTCAATAAAAATACCGCATTCTTCTGAAAAAAAAAAAAAAAAGCACGGGACCAAAGTCAAACTAACAATGCTTTATTTGTGATAGAGAGACTTGAAAAGGTGCTTAAAGTGCTCCAAGTTCGCAGTTTCTTGTTTTTGGCTCCATTTATTTTTAATTTAACATTTTCAGCTCCCTCCCTTGAGACATCCTGTGGTTTCCTAAAGTTTTAGCAGCATATTTAACAGAGGTATACTTGAACAGTGTATTCAGGAATCTGCATTTTTTGACTTGTTTCACCTTTACAGTGAAAGATGCACCTTTCAAAGAAAGATGCAAAAACCATTGTTTGCCACAATCCGAGAGAAATATTGACTGAAACATTTGATCCAAACAGAAGTGTCCATTAATAAAAACAAAATGTAAACTTACCAAAATCTGCGGTCCAAATTCAATGGGATGTTGGTCGAACATTAGCTTCTGTGGTAGGATGTGCTTGTCGTTGAAGAATTAAGAGCAAACGTTAAAAGTCTCAGGTGAGGAGGAAAACAGACATGACCACATTTTAAATGGTCTAATGTAACTCAGTGTACTCACAGTGAGAAACTCTGTGTAGTCTTTCTTTTCTTTTAAGTATTGCATTGTGTTATGTATTTGTTCTTTCTTCTCGATGAGCCCTGAAAGGCTCTTCACCGTATAATGCTGATGAGGTGAATTCCTCCATCGGTGAATGTTTTCTTATCACTTCTTTTCTGGTCCTAAATTTGGTGTTAGCTAAATGAAACAGACAATCTTCAAATCAGTCATATCTTCCTCCGTCAGCCTTTTATCAGCCTCTGCTAAACCAACCCTTTGATCCATTTACAAAACTGACTGTTTGAAGGACTACTGCAACAATTTATTGTCCTGTAGTCCATGCAGTAGATCTGAGAAGAGCGACGCACTGTAATCTCTGTCTCACCATGAGTCGGCGTGATCCGAAGTGACGTTTTAACTGGAGCCACATATTTCCGGGCTTTTATGGTCGTCATTACGTTTTATGTAGACGGGCCGAATTTCTGGAAGATCCAGCAGCAACCACAACAACTGTCAGTCACGCCGAGGTCATTTAAAATGTGCTGATATTCACGCCAAAGCTAACACAGAGAAGCAGTTTAGCAGATGGCTGTCTGGTATTGCCTTTGCATATGTTGTCTGTGCCCAGGCTGAAAGCAAGTCGCTGCAGCTGTATTTACAGAAAGGTGTTCAAAACATGCATATTCAAAGACGTTTCTTTACAGACTGTGGAGCTCGTTGCATCCTTTCGGTTTTAATAATTACGGGATGTTTTAAGGCAATTATTTGCACTGGATTCATAAAAATTATACAATTTTAGACTTTTTTTTAAGGGTAAATCAATAAAAACAAAAAGTTTAATTGTTTTACTTTAACTTCAACACTATTTGCTACTTTAGGCTGATCTGTTACATCAAATCTCTGTAAAGTAGTTCTAAATTGACCCAATGTGGAAATTGTCAAATTTATGTTGCTTCCTGAAAGCAGCTTACAAAGCGTTCTGCTTTCTGGAAAAAAAAAAACAAAAAAAAAACACATACATAATTGCCTCTTACTGAATAAATATTGTCCTGAGACTTTGCCATGGTAAACTAAATACATTAACATTCATTTGTAAATTAAGTCATCAACACATGTCGCTGGCAGAATACTGGGTACAGACAAAGAGTTTTCTGTAATGAAAAGATCTTGTCCCGAGAGACTCTGTCTTACATGCAAGTGCGCACAGATATTTTCCAGATTGCTGCATGCTCCATTATTTCTGGAGAGCAGAATCGCAGGCGGTATACGGGTTTTCTGTCTTCAGAAAGAATAAGCATTTAACTCCATTAATGCAAGAGCAAGAAGTGACTTTTCTTCTCCGTGACTCAAAAAACAAACAACTGAGAAGGTTAAGTAGACAACTTCCTTTCTGTTGAGAAAACGAGCAATGAAAGAACAGGAAAGCACAGCAGAAAGGAACAGTGTTGTCCAGCCACAGAGCAACAAATGTTGAAAACATGAAAACGTCGGTTCTGTCTAAGAGAGGAGCTTGTGACCTTTATGATCTAAGGAGCCATTTTTGTCTTCAGTTCAGCTTCAGTTCAGTTTTGCTTGTTCAGACAGAGGTAAATGTTGGATGACCTTTTCAAAAAGGACAAGCTATAATTTTTTATCAATATTGTCTGTAGAAAAACTTTTGTATGTGTTTTTTGAAAGGGCCCCCATTTTATTGTAGGTTTTTAAATAAAAACAGGTATTTTCTTTTTTAATAGCTACATAAGCTGGAATGATATTTGTGGAAAATTATATAAAAACAAAAAAAATTAGATCTAAAAATTATATTTATGGTGTCATTAATTTGGGGAAAATTCAATTATTCCCCGAGAAAACTAAAAATAAATAAATAAATAAATAAAAACATTTATTATTATTATATCTATATTTAAAAAAACATATTAGTTGGTTCATTACAATTTTTAGCCAGTTATTTTATAAAGATCTAAATGGCTCTGGGGCCACAGGTTGGAGACCCCTGATCTAAGCAAAACGTAAGAGTAGAAGAAGTCGAGCAGTGAGAAAGAAAGACTGTCCTGAAGTAGAGAATAGCTTGTTAACGTGAGAGTGACTTTTGACCGCAGGTGATGAGATGTTCCATCACTTCTTACGCGTCTTTGAGAAATATCAGCAAACTCTCACAACTCTTCCCCTCTGCTCAGCTGTGAACTTAACTCAGCTGAGTAGAACTTTATCCCTGACTTCTGGTTTTATGAGAAGGCTCTGCTGGATCTACCATAAAGCTACTGTAAAAAACAAACAGAGACAAATTCTGGATTACTGTCACTGCAAAACTAATCCCTAAAAACATGATCACAAATACGACGTTGACGTAAAACTGCTAATGCTGATTTTGGAGTGCAGTTCTAAATCCCACCACTCATTTCAATATGTTTTCTGAAACTAGTTAATTTACTTACAAAGTCAAGACATGCCTGGATTATAAATTAATATTCTAATCTGCATCTGTTGGTTGATTACAAAGATGAAAAAGAAAAGGTAAATGTTTTATTTTCCCTTGAATCAATGCTGCAAATCCACCAGTCTTACAGACTTCTGATCATCTTAAATCATATTTTAGAAATACAAACAAGCATTGTTGTGGTTTTATTGGTTTTCTTTGGTTTCTCTTTTCGGCAACTATTTGTATTAGTCACTTCTTGCGTTTTGAGGCTCCATGATTGAGGTGATTACGTGAACTGGATGATTACAACTGAATTGCCATTTAATAAAAGTCTTGTTTGAGTCTTGAACATTAATTTAACCATAAAGTTAGAGCTGAAAGGACCACAGTTATGCATATTTATGACTTTCCAACCCACCAAACATAAAGTTTGCATTCTTGTTTCCTTTGGGATTGGGACAGTGGCAATTTTTACAGCTTTTGCCCCAACTGATCACAAGCCTAGTTAAAGGCAACTAAGATACATGGACGGAAAAGAGATGTTTTTTTTTTCTTTTATTGAACACATTAACAACAGACCTTTTGTGATATAACTTGGTTTCCCTTCCAATATTTTCTGAGAAACATCTGAAATATCAGTTTCTAAAACTAACAAGAGTCAGAAATTGTATCAATCTTCTAAGCAAAATGAATTTTATTTTAATACTGACAACAATCGATCATTTTTTCACTGGCTTCATCAAACACTTTATAGACAGTAAGAGCATCTCTGGATTGGATGTATAATCAACTTTTATAAAATGTACATGACAATATTTTAGTGAACTCATTAGTAACCAAATATTAACACACAAACAACATTAATATATAACTTTTGGCAGCATGTTGCAATATTTTTTTAAGAGGGATTTTATTTGTCTTGTCCTCTGCTACCATGTTTACACATCATGCAGCATAAAACATCAGTGCAGAACAAGGAGTCTCCGCAGAAGCAAAACAACTCAGCACCAATACTGCACACATCATGTTAGATATTTTCAGGAATATATCAAAGTTACTGCCCAATATTTATTTTCTTACAGAACATCGAGCTTTTGATATGTTCTTATTACTGATTGTGTACAACCCAATGAAGGTGTGTCACACTTAAATGCAGTACAAGATAAATAAAGTGCCAATAGGTTACATTATTAAATGAGCTCCCCATCATTGTTTGGCCCTCACAGAATAGAAACTATGGATTTCTTTAAAAATGGTGGTCTTTTTTTTTATATTTTAAGTTAATCCTAATCACATTTTATTTAGAAATCACATTTTATGAATGGCTGTCTTGTTTGCAAATTTAAGATTGATTATACACTAGTGACTTTTTCACTTCTTAATCTCTATACTTTGGACAAGAATGTTATTAAATATGTGAAAAAAAACAACAAAAAAACAACAACTTTGAGACCAATTGGAAGCAGAACCTTTTGTGGAAGATTTTCATACATCAGTAGACTAATATCAAAAAGAAAACTGATAGGTTGATAGATTTTTTTTTTGTCAGACTCATGATTCTCCAACTCTAATCCCCAGGAACCACTGACATGCTACTTTAAGATGAATCCCTGTTTCTAAACATCCAAATAAAATGAATTGCTCAATACTAGGCCTATGCAAAGCTTAATCACAGGCTGAGGAGTTGCAGTCAGAGACTCCATTGTAGCTTGTGCAACCAGCTGAGTAACATGGCCATCACCATGTTGCTCATTTAAGACCTTTTAAAATTGGCCTGTTAAAAGTTTTCCCTGAGAATCATTATCATCAACTCGTTATTACTATCAACTTCGTTAGCCACAGTATCAAAACTCTCAACAGATTTACAGACAAATCAATAACGACTCACAAATGACACAATCCGACATCTTTGTCTGCATTTAGCTGCTCCTTTTCTTAATGACCATAGGAAACAAATTACTAACATCTAGTGAAATGGGATTATTGTATCACATATCCAATATCTTCTATTCACAAATGCATACAATCAAAGCTACAAAGTCATACCTGCACAGACTGTTTATACTCATTTTAATATACATTGTCCAATAAGCTCCTTCATGTGCCTTTTGGCAGTGGTAAGTCGCTTTTAAATTGGTCAGTCCGTCAGCACCAGGTTGGATATCCATTCCACCAGTATGAAACATGAAGGCATCAAAAAATGAAAGCACAGGAGGCTAAATCCAAGCACATCTAAACTCTCGTGGTTTAGATCAGTTATCCAAGGGTTAAATGATGTGAAACTATTCACAGAAATAAATCAAAACACTTAAAACGCAGATCTGCAGTGGTCAGTTTACCGTCAAACATTCAGTAACAAAAGATAACAGCATCAGCTGCTGCAGTAACACTAAAAAACAACAACAACATGATAAACATAGACAAACAAAATGGATGTTATGTTGATACTCTGTCAATATTTGCAACATTATGGTCACACTTGATGATGCTACGCAACTATGATTGATGGTTTTCCATATGAGAGGCAGGTTAAGATAACGGTGTCCTTGAAACTGTGTTGCAGATAAATTTTAAGTTTTATTAAGTCAATGAAAGTTTAGAATTGACCTACACTGTCCAAATGAGGTCGTTCTAAAGTGAGCACTGACTTTTCACATTAGAAATCTGCTAATTTGAAAACAAAATGTATCCTTTAAAATTACAGGGAGAATTACGAAAGTTATCCACGTAATGCAATTTTGTGCACTAGAAAGTAGGATTGCATTGTTTTTAAAATACTGGCAGTTATGAGATTTCAAGGGTGTGATAATCTTGGTCTTACACAAAAATAATTTAAAAAAATGTAAAGCATGATGTATTTAGCTTTAAAAAAGAATTCATAAAGAGGGGAATCATGGCGTTACTTTATGCTGCAAACAGATGGGGAAAACTGGTTACTCCAGCATTTTAACTCATTCGAAAGTCTTTAAACTGTAGGAAAGCCACAGCAGAAAGATTGTACAATTTTTAAACCATTAGCCAACTATCTAAGAACATTATTAAAAAAAAATAAAAAAATCTATTTTATCTAAATTTGAAACCCTACAATGGACAGAACTGTTTTTTTCTACATTTCTTCTTCTCTGAGTGCGTCAGTTGGATGCAGTGCATTCCAAGACGTTTTATGCTTCGCCTTTTTTTGTTGTGTTTGAATTATTAACACAATCTGCATCTACATAACAGCCGTGAACACAGGCTAAATAAGGTTTAGTTCTTTAACTCTGTGTGGGCCCATTCTCCTGCGAGCTCCAGCCCTCAAACAGGAACACATTTCTCGGCTTAATGACTGCAGAGTCTCCAGCTTCACTGATAACAGCCCACTCTCTTTCAGCTTTCGTAGGAAGCCAGTAAGTATGTTTAGGGAAAAGGGTTTGTGACAGTGTTAAGATCTGCAAGCTTTCATCTCACACTAGACTGCAAGTGTATTCAAAGTCATAAACACTGCCAGACATAAGAACTATTATCCAGAGAGAAAGCAAAAAGAAAAAAAAATGTCCAAACCTCTGAATATGTTCTGATATTTCCTGGCTTTTTCATATCCAAACTCTAGAATAATCTCAGTGTGGGCAGGAAAGCATAAGCACATGCTGCACACGTATGTGTCTCATTGTTATATACTACATGTGCACACATGTCCCCTTCACTGCATATGCTGTATGTCTAATGCTTGGGCATGGTATGTGAATATGTCTGCATATATGGCCTGCAGCTGCGATGCAGGTCACCTAATCCACTCTGATGAACAAGAAAGATAAATAAATCACACTGTTCTTAGTTTGACATTTATGCCAAATACCTCTGAACAAAGCCTTTGGGCTTTGGTAAGCCCAATTTGCCACCATTCAAAGCGACTTGACCTCAACTACCTGAAACAAATGCAAGAACATCGTGTCTCCTGGGACGCAGTAAAGTTATCCTCATTTTAGATGCTGGTGCTGCTGCAAAGGCTTTTGAATACCCTGACTAAAAAAATGAGCACAGAATAATAATGACAGTGAAATGATACTAGTCATGCACTGATGACAGGCCTAAACTCATGTAAGCCTGCAGACAAAGCTAGGACATAAAACAGACATGACGGAATGGAACAGAAATGATTCACTTCTTTGCAAAAGTAAAAGTTTTATCCTCTTAGATGCTGGATTTTGCATTTAGTCACAAAGCTGATATGTGGGTTTTGTTTGACTTAGGTTGATTATTTTAAGTAGCCACAGCTTTTATACAAGCCAGATCCTTCTCCAATGGTGATTAGTCGAAGGTCTCAACAGGGAGAGCGTGTGAATCTTGTGGATCACCTCCTTGGATTTCTCGTCTCTCTGCTCGTCTTTAGAACCTGGTGCTCTCATGTTTCAACATGCGGATGTTGGTGAGTGTCCCGCTGCCTCTGTGGTGGTACCCGTAAGCCTGGTGCTGCTCCTCCAGTCACCGTGCAGTGCTGCACGATGACATGCTGCTGCTGGGGCTCGAGCCGCTTGAGCCCCGGTCCTCAAACACGCTGATCTCCAGCTGGGGACACAATGAGCGTCAAGGATCATACAGATAAAGAAAAACATACAAAGAGAGGAGCACGAAAAGGGATGTCCTATAGCAATATCGATCTGTAATCCCCAAGAACAGCTATGGATATTGCCATGTCAAAGCTTTCTGCGCAATGGCAGTGGCGCTTTACCTGTGAGGTTCCTACTTTCCTGCAACTGTTTATCAGTCTTAAACTGGGGACACACTGCATGTTTTATTTCATTTTATTTTTACCACTGTTACCCCCGATTCCCAGTTGAGGAAAGTCTGAATCAGCCTCCATCTTGCTGACGTTAGTCATCAGGGAATGTTGGCACAAAATTCTGCCAAGACAAGGTGAGGACCGGAGTCCGTAAACGTGTGAGGGGAACAAACCGACCTAGATCGCAGTTGAACAAACATGTTTGAATTTTTTTGAGGCTGTTCTGGATACAATCGGGTTAGTGTGAACTGATCACCGACCCAGCTGGAAATGCGTGTTGCCTGCAGTCAGTGAACAGCATAGACCGGGTTTGTAGTTCAGCCATCCAAGGAAAGATTAAAGTAAAGCCAATGCTTCTCTGCAAGGAAAAGAGGCAGTCGAGGTTGTTCAGGCATGTGATCCGAATGAAAGCAGGATGCTTCCCACTGTAAGGAGTGTATTTCCTTTCTGGTCTGTGAAAGTGTCTGGATCCCTGAGAAAGAGCTTCAGTATGTCACTGTGGCAAGGGAGTAGAAGAATTGATGGAGAAATTAAACGTTACGGGATTCACTTACTGTAAAATGGTCTTCAACATTTATTTGTAGTTTAAGGACTGCACCAGCTACATTGGTTAAACTTTGCTCTTTGACTTTTAGTCTCATTTTTCAGAAAGTCATTCTACGGCAAGCTAGTGTGATGGTCTGTTGGGCGCATTTTTCTTTCTCCTGTTGCCTGTTCTGGGGTCAGTCAGGAAGACAATAAAAAACAAACCCCAGCGGTACCATGAACCGCACAGAAAACTGTCAATATAAAACAGTAAAAGTGCTTGGCTCATTTGAAAAAATAAGACTTTCCATGACGTTAGCATCTTGGCTTTTAGTTAGTTTTAGTTCACAATTTCCTTTTAGCAAACCTCTTCAAAGCGGCTATGTGTTAGATTTATTCCTGGAAACAAGGAGGTGTCAAACAGATAAAATGGAGAACTAGAATTCAAAATGTACAAATTAAATGATGCTTTCCTTATGTCCAGGTATCCATCTCTAGCAACTGTTTTGGTAACAGCCAGTCTCTCCAATTGCCAGTCTACAATCTAGACCATTATACCCTTTTGTTTGTTGTTCTCAGAGAGTGTAGCAGCAGCAGAATGAAGGATACAACCCTCATTCCTCTCTCTATGGGGTCTGTGAGCAGCAGACCTCTCGGAGCGTAGATCTTCTCATTCTGCTCCTGAATGTAGCCTGATATCTTCTTCAAGACCTGAAATAAAAGTTGGTTGAAGAGGTTTTAGAGGAGGACTGACATACATCTGGTTTTAATCCAGATTTCATTAGAAACATCAAAAGTTCATTGGATGCAAAAGCTAAACGCAGTTTTACAGAAGACAATCTAAACAGCTGCACTAACTGGGGGCTAATACCTGCATATTAGTTTTTAAAGGGTACTTTATGTAACATGTAATGGCCATGGGTAGTCGAGAGATCAACCATGAGATTGGATTTAGCCATTTAATCTCCAGCTATGTTTTGTCTCAAGTTGAAAATATGAAAATGGAAGAAATTAGTTCATCTCGTAGCAAATGCATATCCTTGAGTCTTTTATTCCAGAGAATTATAACGCAAACTTAAAATAATTCCATTATAGTTCAAGTATATCAGTATGTTTTTAGCATATTCCTCACCACTCACGCTAAAGCATGGCTGTAAAATTGAATTGCTAAAACTGAGGAGCTCTTTTCTCTTTCTGAAAATCTCCATCTTGAAGCCATGGCTCCAAATGGAACAGATGACTCTCTCAGGCCAAATGTTATGCCTTGGCTAACCATCAGGGCAAACTTTCTAAAAAGTAAAGTGGCTGGTTTATTTACATTGTATTGGCAATGAACCCACCCATTAGTTTTGCAGCAACTGTGCAATAACCACAAAGCAGTGGGGAGGAAACTGTGCACTTCAGGCTATGCCTCGACATACACATTCAAACTGGCATGTCTGTACACAAAACAACAGCTGTGAATAACCTTTGTAGTCTGTGTTTGTTGTTGATAGGTTGCTCCAAAGAATTGAACAGTCATGCTAAATGAACAGATATAAACTAAAGGCTTGATTAGAACAGCTCCTCAGAAGTACATCAGACATGCTTGTGTGGGTCCCAGCAATGTGGGCATGCCATGCAACTCTAAAATACAGTCTAATTATGTCAGATGCACTTCATTCGACTCAGCCTTAGGATCACTGCTATAAGAATAACAAAGTCAGCAAATCTTTTTTTTTATTTTTCTAAATACCACTATTGTAAACATTCAGCTGTTTACAGGCTTCAATAAGCAGATCTGAGACTCCACTTGACTTGAAAATGTGATCAGTGCTGTCTTTTGATACGGGGGGGAACACGGATCATTGTTGAGTTCGGATTTAACAGACAAACACAAACACAACATAGAAAACATGTCATTTGTATTTTATGTCATCTTCTCATGCATAATCAATGGGAAATGACTTTTGGTGCTACTGACGGGTGCACTGCGTTTTATCCTGCCTTACAATCTGAAAATATTTTTCCACCTTTTGATTGGTTTGGAGACATCATACTAAAAAATCAGCTACTTTTCTGGCATGGGCTCAAAGTGTTGGCAGGTTTCTTTCTCTGGTTGTCATCGCCCTAATCTTTTGTCCACTCTACAGAATCTCATCGAAATTGAAGTCAGGATTCTAGCTGCGCTGATCCAAAATGTTGATTTTACTTCCAGTCAAAAGAAGCATGTTGGTAAAATAAAGGTTACTTTAAGAAGAGAAGTTTAAATGGTGAATGGTAAATGAGTTTGTACTTGTATAGCGCCTTATCAAGTCCAGAGAACCCCAGAGCTGCAGGCACTCACCCGTTCACACTCTAGTAGTAGAAACTAAACAAGATAACATTATAAACTGGAAACAAACAATGGTGTAAACTGAACTGAATATCTTAAAAGGCAAATAAATAAATAAAATAAAAAAAATGACAAAAACTGTTTCAGTGTTTCAAGGGAAAAAGCCAATCATACACCTAGTAAAGCCAGGGAACAGCTCAACCCTCTTTACTTTCAAAATTTGACATTTACGTATCCTTATTATATCTGTGTCACTGCTACGCTGGCATGATTGTGTCAGCTGCTCTGGGAAGACTATACACACACACTACACAGAAGTAGTCCTCTTCTTTAAAGTTACACGTAGAGGCTCCTTTGTGTTTTTCGTACAAACTGAACTTCTATCGTGGCAAATCTGCTGCTGCATTTCAGCCATGTTATTGTCAGCAACGAAGAAAAGAAACAGGAGATGCACAATGAAGAGTCTGTGTGAGGGACTTTTTCACGCTTGTTCCGACATGCAGGGAACAATCAGTGCCTTCTGAGAGGCCGCTGAGAAGATCGGGAAAACCACGGTTGTGTGGCACACGTGAATATGCACACTCAGCTTCAACCTGGGTGGGTATATTTTATCGTCGTCAGTCATAGAGCTATTCATAAAGTTTAAACAGGTAAATAAACAACTCTCATGTGGAGCCCGATAGCATCTGCGCCGCTCAATGGAGCGGTTCCACCTGACAGGAAGATGAAAGGTGAGTCAGACCAGGCCATTTCTGCATGGCTTCAACGTAGCAATAAACCTGCTTTGTGGGCACTCGGTCAATCTCCCAGTGCCCGGCGCAGCTTTGATAAAAGCAATGTTTACAAAATGCAACAAGACGAGGGAGATGAATGTTGTGCGAGACAGCGATCAGAACAGAAAGACATGCTGGAACTTCACGCCACTCCAATCTCATCTGACGCATTGGCAAGTTCACAGAAAACGACAAAGAGGATTAATCAAGCTCACTGTGCCTGTGTGTGCGATTGCAGTATGCATGCGTGTGTGTTCTTGTTCCATCTCAGCGACTAACAAACGGCAATACAGTCATGAACAGGTTGAGCCACCTGTCCTTTCTGAAGATGGACATCTTGCCTGTGCTCAGTAAAACTGTTTTACAGATGACGTGCCATGCTTTACCCGGTGCCACTCATGCGTGACCTTCAGAACAGGATGTGAGAAGTGGTGGAAGGTTTTAAAGACCTGATTTTATCTCCTGGGTTCTGCCTGTTTCCCACTGGAGCGAGTTTAACAAAAAAAAAACAAAAAAAACTACTGGGTTTGAGAAAGCAGCCAAAACAGAACCAAATGTCTTTTTCTGTCTGTTTTTAAAACATTAACTTCTAAATTGCTAAACCAATCAGCATTTTTATAAGACTTACGAGTTTAATGCAGTTACGTGCAGATTCTTAAAGTTTTATCTTTAACCTTATAAAATTGAGCATGGTACAAGAGACTGTTGATTACTATCACCTTTCCAATTAGATGACACTGGGTCAGAACTTAGATATTTTCATATTACTCTACCACAAATCTCGATTTTTTTTTAAACATCTACATCATAAACATCATTAGTGTTGTTGAAAGCCTCTTCCCATTTTTCACAACCGCTTCAAGCTACCAGGCGACAGACACAGGGCCTCCATTGCTGTCCAATACTTAATAAATGTCAGGTCTGGCACCATTTCTGAAAACATTGCATTTTGACAAAATTATTGATGTCAGTCTCTTGCCGTGCATGTAGGTTTTAAGATTTTAAGATTGTTAATAATACACATTTTACAGATAAGAAAGAAGTTTAAATCTTTTGTCTTTTCACGGGAATATCTCAAGTCATCAGGTGAGGACATTTTCGACAGATTCTTACCTTCTCATAGCGTGTCTCCATGCAGAGGAAGACGATGTATGCTGTTGCACAAGCCAGGCATCCTTCCAGGTATGACTGACCGCCAACTTTCTCAGCCTCCACATAATAAGAGTTCAGGGTCTTTACTGTCTGCTCAAGCAGAGCTCTCTCTATCTAATAAACACAAACAAGGAGAGAAAGTAACGAGTGGTATAGATAAGGCAGACTGGGAACACGAGTATATGTAGCTCTCCCACAACAACATAAACAAGCTGAGCACCTATTGAGAAACATGTTGAACATGCCTGCTGCATTTTACTCGAGCCAACATTAAACTTTTTGATAAGAATTATCACACTCTTCAAGCTTGTATAATCTGAAGTGGGAAAAAAAAAAGCATGGGCAGAAAAGCAGATTAGCTCAATAGGCGTATTTGCTTGTTACACTAAAAGGACTTAATTTTAAGCTGCAACATGTTGCAGTTGTTTCACAATGCTCTGTTGTTCTCACCCTGTTGTCGAGCTCTGCAGGGAACTTGGTCTGGAATCGGCACACGGTTCCTTCGCTGTAGTCTCGTTGTATGAACACCTTTGTTACCAGCGATGCAGTGTGCTGCATGTCCTGGAGGTTGTGAAACTTAGAAGATGCACAGCAGCGGGGGAGAAAAAAGGATGTGTTTCTTCAGATTTAAGGCCAATCGAATTCACAAACAGTTCATCATAGACATGAATGTCATAATAGTTTAGGGGTTTTTACTGACACATTTTTAACTGTTCTATTTCCAGCATGGAGTGACTAAAGAAACACATACAACCTAAGTGGTTCTTAAAAACAAAAACCGAGTAGACATATTTGAGTTTATTTTGAATTGTTTCCAACTCCTCAATGGGCAAAACTTAAGACATGCAGATTCAAATACACGCCAACCAATATTTGTGGGAATGTCAATGGTGGCAACTTGAGTCCTGACTGCATTCTTTTCAGTCACAAGGCCTATTCTAGAGGGATATGTGACCATTCTACATAGCAGAATTGCTATACTTCATTTAAAGAACTTTGTTTCTTGGTCCAGACCCGGTTTTATGCAGAGTCAACAAATTCAATGGTGTTAAGGATGTTGAGGGGGCCCATTCAGGAATCTTAATGAGCTCGTGTTTAACTGCTTTTGATGTGTTTAGGATTATCATCCAGCTGGAACAACCGATGGAGTCCAAGTTTACCCATTCTGACCCAAACTGTCACTCTCAGATGAAAGGAACTTGGTTAAAATGTTCAGGAACAACCCAGAAACCCAAAAAATCCTGGAACACCAACAACTTCACTGGAACACAGACTTTACATCACCAGGGTGTGTGAGGGTTCTGAACAAGGAAGAAGCTCAAAAACAGACACCTTAATTAAAGTTTGTGGCTATTTATACAAGTATATATATATATATATATATATATATATATATATATATATATATATATATAACTTTTTTTTCTATTTTGGTTGTTCATCTGTATTTTCTGGCAAGTCAATTCTACAGAGATTTTTTATTATAAATGCCAAAATAGTGATGTGTACAGAAGAGGATTAGGGCCACTGGAAATAAATAAATAAATAAATAAATAAATAAATAAATAAATAAATAAATAAATAAATAAATAAATAACAGTTCTGACTTTAATCTCAGAATTCTGACTTTAATCTCAGAATTCTGAGATTAAAGTCAGAATTTTTAGTTTTTTCAGTGGCCCTAATCCTCTTCCGTAGATGTGAAATCATCTTGGCAGCTTTTAATTAACTAATGGTAATGGCCCAAATGTGAGAATCTCATGTTTTAACAGCACTGTAGGCTTGCAATGGCACAGCGACTATTCCTTGAGCTGCGAAGGACCCAGTTTCAATTACAGCACCCAGAGATACTGCTCTTTGCAGCACTTTGCTAGTAACTGCTATGTTTTACATCAAAACAGGCACAGTCAACTTGTCTCATGCTGATCTAAATTACTTCTCCCAAGAGGTTGGCAATTAGTAATACAGAAAAAGTATGCAAGTAGAGATGGGGAAATAGGAAGGAGACAGAGAAGAAACAAAAAGAATGTATAAAAAGATACAGCGACACATATGATGTTGGCCTTCAGGTTATATATATATATATATATATATATATATATATATATATATATATATATATATATATATTATTCTCTAGAAGTGATATACATATGTGTGTTTGTG